GGTAATAAATGACATCATTCGACAAGATAAAACACACAGGTACTACGAATGATTGGTGGCACTAAATTTATTCCTTCTTGACCGTGAGATTACAAGATATGACATGTGGTAAACGTACTTATAACATCGGTTGGTGGCTATGATGTTAAAATGTAAGAGTGTAGAAACACTGGTAGAGGTATCCCAAAGGTGGTTGCGGAGAATGACTGAAAACACCGTGTATAGCTAAAATTACCGAGGAAAACTTCTTGACAAAGCCAATGAAGAAAACAAATGGAACTCAGAAAATGGCAATGCTCACTGAACACATTCATTACAGGAAAGTTGTAGCAACGTGACAACAGGTAAATTGGAGGACCGAAGAGACAAACACGAAAGAAAATGGCGGATAGTTCAAGAAACCGGCATGGGATAGTCGAAAACGGAACTAATAACGCACGTCGGCTATTGCCAAACATGACGCATATGTGTTGACAAGGCATTTGATTATTATGAGTACCCTTCGTACGTATTGGGTTATATATACTCACCAAAGAAATCGGACTTCCATATGTATGACGTAAGCTGACAAAACTGCTCACTATTACGCAGCTTGCAGTTGAACTGTATGTTAAACAATCGTTACGACGCGTCCTGGTTGTTTTGACTCTTAGTCCGACCGGACGAAAGTTCTTGAAAGATAGCAACCCACGCATGTAGAGTAGCTACTCGAATTAGGAACGTTGTGGACTAACGTGACCTAGTCGCCAGACGTACACGCGAGCTGAGACTGGAGACGAAAACGCGTAGCCTAGCACTACTGCGCTGAGACCCAGCGTGAAAGAATTATTGACCGGCACATGAGTTATCACCCAGTGGTGGTGTCCTTAGGGAAACTTAGTCTCATGGAGGCTCTGTGTGGTAAATGCCGCAGTGTGTTGAGTTCAGTGGGTTCACTACAGCTTCACAGCAGATGCATCAGTGTCATTAGTTGAGCTCAGTTGGTTCACTCTGGATAGACATCAAAGCTCCAAAGAGGAATCGGTTATTAGTAGCGCAGTCTAAGTCTCCGTATGATGATTGTATGCTTGCGGTGAGCCTGCCGAAATCTTCGCAAGTTTTTGGCGGAGCTAGCTTGCACCTTCATAAACAGGCACTTGCGCACGCGTAATCCATTTCACTGACCAGTAGTTACCGGTGGAGATTAGCAGAAACATGTGTTTAAATGAATTCTGTTATTTGTGTTATCACAACCCACTTTTCACAGCAAGGCCTCCTATGGCCCTCCATAAAAATTTTCTCATCCCAGGTCCCCTAGGGAGTTCTCTATGGGCCCCAGGCGGCCATATGGCTCTCGCTGAGAATGACTGGTCTAAATCATCGAATACTCCTTTCCAAGCTCCAGTATTACGGAAGTGATGGTCCTCCTCTAAGCTGAATCGCTAACTTTCTCCTTCAACAACAATTACTGTTCAGAGTTTGGTGTCCTTTATCTGACCCCATGCAAATTGAGTGTGGTGCGCCGGAGGGCTCAGTTCTAGGACAACGATTGTTTTTGGCATTTAATAACAACCCCGCACAGGCAATCGTCTCAGACTTCATACTGCAAGATTCAGGTGCATGCCGACCAGCATCTGCTTTAGTTTGACTTAGACAAGATACTTCGGTGGTCAATCCAAAATTTAATGCATTTTAACATGAGTAAATACAATGTACTCTCCATGCGACATTAGATCAGCTACACATGCAGGCTCGGAACGTATGTAGCGCAGCTAGATTCCGTCGAACGTGATCTGGGTGTGCTGGCTCAAGATGACCTTGGTTGTTCCAGGCAACCCTATAGGGCACCGAAAACTGGTAATCAACACGTCGGGCTGTTGAGAGGGGCGTTCGGACAAATAGACGTCTCTGTTTGCTGACAGATGCTCAGTGCGTATGTTCACCGCCATGTCGAATACGCTACTCAAGCCTGGCAGCCATGGCTGAAACACGACCTCAATGCAATGAAGCAGCCTCGACGTCAAACATCCAAGTACGTTACTGGAATGCGCAATCTCCCGTACGAGCAAAGGCTGAAATTTTTGGGAGTATTCCGCGGACCTGATACTGGCCTACTTGATTCTGCACGATCCACCTCATTTGTGCCGCTCTTTACTGCAACTTAGCAGTAATGCAAACCTGAGTGATCATTCCATGGAACCAGCAGAACGACACAGCCGTCTGGAGGGCCGCAGAAATTTCTTTGCTATTCGTAAATGTCACCCTTGGAATGCGCCGGCTCGTAGCCTTAAGTATCACAAGCCTGCCTTGCAATCCGAGGGTTCGAGTTCGAGCCTGCTTAGGGACTGGGCGACCCTCGCAGTTGTGATGGTTGCGCATCAGGGAAGCGTCAGTACTGCGTTCCGGCGTACTACTGATGTCTTTTTCTTTTCCCTTGAAATGCTCTCCCAGGATTGGTTGTTTCTGCACCTACACTAGCGATATTTAAAAGACAATTGACTGGCGCACTCATCCACTTACCTTTTATTACTTAGCACTATCTCTCCATTTTACTCCCGAGATTTATCGGATTTATTAGCTGTCAATGGTTGGTGCAGTGAAACCACACTGATTGCAGGACAACAGCATTACAAACGATAAGTCCTGCTTTTGATACTTAAGATACTAACTGTAGTCTAGAGGTAACGAGCATGTCTCGTAATCTTGCTGCGCGGGTTCGAATCCACGGAGCGGTGGGCGTCCTCGCGGTAAACTCAGTCCGCGTGCGACTGGTGGTGGTCGCACGGCAGCGAAGCGCCGTTACGGCGCACAGCTGACACATTATTATTATATTATTAACTGTATGTTATTAAATTTTTGTTAACCCCACCAGATCTTAACCTGTATAAAGTCATTGCCCACTTGCCATCGCGAGTATAGCATTGAGGTACGCGCTTTCCACGGTCTGACTGTTGGTTACATACATACCACGGTCGCTCGTTAAGTGGTCGGGCATACCGCACTTCAGCTACTCTCGTCTACACTTTACTCGGGTTTGCCTGAGGATGCGCTACCGATATGGTCCATTTCCCAACTAGACCATTCACGTTGACCAGATGGCATCATCTGCACTGCTCCGCAAATGTCGCCCTAGTCATTCAACGCCCCTCACTATAATGTAGGCTGTGACTGTGGAAACTCCCTACCTCGGATTGACTCCGTTGCAACAATTTGTGAATCCATCACACATGCACAATACCCCAGAGTCAGATAAGTAAACGCGGTCCGCGTACGGCATACACATTTCAGCAATAACCTTGATTTCTCAACTCGATACCTGCGAACGAATTGCCCTGACTTTTCTTTGAGAAGTCCTACCATCCAATTTGGTATTTTTACTTTCTTACCTATGACCTTTACGCTTATTAATTTCAAATATATAATAATAATAATAATAATAGTAATAATAATAATACGTATACTTCTCGTTTGTGCGAGAAGCCGCCTCTGCTTTAGGAACAGATCATTAGTACTGTGATTTTCATACTCATGCATGAATGAGATATGTTTTCTGGAGCGTCTGTGTCATCAAAACGTTCTGAAACGCATGACTTGTTGCTGTGTTCTATGTAACCACTTTTTCCCACTGTTTATATCTTCTTTGGTCCATTCTAAAGCAACTCATCTGGTGATTTGCCCGATAAAAACGTGGTCATTCTCAGTTTCTTGTCCTGGAAATTTCCACGTTTAATGCAGAGTGTTCTTTCATTTGTACAGGACCTGATAAAAGATGGTGGGCTATTTCACATGACAGCGTATCTGATTCTTAACACAATTAGTTTATAAATCTTGTTGCAAAGTTTCCGGGTAAAGTTATGTTACAATTCTAATGTGCACATATGTGAGTATATTTTTTGATTTATGTGATTGTGTATGAGCACCAGGTTATGTTTCAGTCCTCGTAACCGAAGGACCTATACGTTAAGCTCTTGGCAACGTTCCTGACAGCGAAAGGTGAACGACTTACCGAACCAAGGCTTAGTGAATTATCTCTAGGTTTTCTAGAGCTTTCCTGTTACCCATACGTATGTTCCCATAAATGCTGCTGTAGTATTCAAGAACAGGAAATGGGACTATTTTGAAACTACGTTTAGGTCCTGTGTCGTTAACATGTTTTACAGTCCTCAGTTATCTCCCTAACAATGAAGTTCGCCACATCTCGTTACCAACTGTTGCATCTCCATCGTATGAATAGGTGGCCAGACAATCAGGGATGGATGTGCAGACGTCGAAGCGTCAACGGTTGGACACGGGAGCGCCAATCTTCCGCACTGCAGTGTGTCAGCCAGGTTTCCTGACCACTATTGTGCTCGATCCTGTGCTTCATAGAAGGCGATAAGCAATAACGCAACCAAAGCAACTCTTCTTGTTCCACTATCCCGTTAGTTAGCTAGCTTGAGGTTTCGCTCACCAAAGTGCATACTCTGCTACCGTGCTTTAACTGCGATCATGCATACAAAAGGTGTCGCCCCATCGGCTTATGCGGGGCATCAACTGCAGACAGAAGTACACGAAGTCAGTCCTGTCCTCAACCAGGGGATTTGCTTGGTCGTCTCACCGAACGAAGCAACTCCTGGTGGACACCGATGAGCAAAATGAACTATTTCTCGACGGAATCATCATTTAAGGTTTAAAGCATGTTAATCCTTAGGCACGTTGTATCTGACCCTCCTTCATTCCACCTTAGAAGCGCGTTCGCCAATTGAAATTCCTTGCTAGGTGCAACCACACCACGTTTGTTTGTTTCGGGGTTAGCCGGATTAATTTACGGGTCTGTACCTTGAATGGACAAAGGAGCGACACTCACACCATACCAGTCATGTACCCTGGTACAGCCAGCTGACCGACTACAACACTTGTTCTCGTGTATCCACTCGAAAACGATATGTTCCGTAATTGTAGAACACACTGTTCCGTGTTCTCCACATCTCTGACTCGATTAGTGCCAACTACTTCGCTTTCTCTTTCTATTTTGCTTCCAGTCAAGCTACCCAGTTCGACTGCGTCGCATATTGATTTTGACCGCTCCCTTGTGGTTCCGCGCATCTTTCCGCATGATGCATCGATTCATCCGGGACCAACTCCCCAATTGCGTCAATGTTCTTCGACCGTCGCCGGGTACTAAATTGGACGCACTCAGTCATCCGGATTTTGTGGCGTTGCGGCGGGAGCACTACGCTTGGCTTCAGACGGCATTGACCCGTACCGGATGGCTCTCAACGGACGCGGAACAGGTTAGCCCCAATTCAAATCGTCCATCTTATTTTCTAGCGCTGTACGATGTCTTGTGGTCCATGATACTGAGATATCAGGTGTGAGCAAGCAAGTTGCTTGGATTCGAATGATGGTCTGTTAACCACTTGTCCAGGGCATAAGCCACCACACGCTTATCCAGCACTCTCCATCGGCTATCCTGCCTCACTGAAATAAGTGCTCACTTGTTCAGCCACATTGTAATTCACAAAGCCCACCTTCATTTTGTCCGCACCAACTGATTGTGACATGGTCGTTCGTCCCAATCTCATCCACCTTGTTGGTGCTCAATCGTTAGTCACGCAACATAATGAACGGTGTGATGTATGGGTGGGGGGGAGCGAAATTGCTCCAGGGCCAGTACAGCTACTTGTGTGTGTGTGTGTGTGATATTCATCAACACTTCCTGTTTGTCACCTTGGCAGTACTCCCGTTTGTGCGTCAAATCACTCTTGTCACTATGCACTGCTCTTCTGGGTATCCGATTGACTTGCATTGCCTGTCGATGGTGGGGAAGGGGTTCATTTTCTGCCCTCTCACTTGCCCCACTACACTGGTTGTTGCTGCTCTCATAAAGTCTAGTTGTCAGTCACTTCGTTTTGGCTGCTACGGTAAAAGTGTATGACAAATTTTAAGTACTGATCGACTTCATGCTCTCTAAGCGACTTATGTGCTTTACACCGTGGTGTCCAACTGGTGTGTCGATAGCTTCATCATCATATCTGGTTCGCCACCGTATTATTTCCACAAGCCCTGTTGCACTCGTTTTGCATTTGAACAGTTTTGGGGGGAAATTAGGATTCTATTCATGAGTCGTGCTTAGATTTATGCATTGAACAATGAGATGTTCCTCATTGTGCAGTCACAACAGTAATGTTAACGAGGCTGATTTATCCCACTCGGAAATCCAAACTAGACACCTTAAGCAAATGGAAGGTTGCTTCATTCTCTCCAGATCACTTTACATGTAGTTTCCTCGTCATTTGATGCACACAGCTCAATCGGGCCTCTCCCCGGTGTCCTCCTACATTTTGTTAACATTTTCCTCCCGGCTCCACGCTTAGTTGCTGTGTCTATTATATATATATATATATATATATATATATATATATATATATATATATATATATATATATATATATATATATATATATATATATATATATATAGAGAGAGAGAGAGAGAGATCACAATCTGTGTACAGATATTGTGCCATCGGAACCATGGCGAAATAGGAAAACAGGGTTAGAATAAAAGACGAAAAACAATTTATTCTCTATTTTTCTACTCTTAGTATTTGAGTTTTATGAGTTTTTTGGAGGGAAGGGGAGTCGCCGCAACAAGAAGAGAAACATGCCCGCCACTGTGTTCGGTTTCGAGCCATGACTTCCAACGTTTCAACCAAATGCACTCAGCATCCTTGGGACCCCATCCAGGGAGTCGGGAGGAACCAACCGTGGCCACTTGTTTCGTCAGCTTTTTCATCATACTTCTCAAAATTGTAGGCTGTCCACCACACCTTTCTCCTCCAACCCTGTTCAGCGACCGCGAACAAGGCACGATGCGGAAGACGCTGAGTGAGCATGCCCAGTAGGTGTTTGAGCCATTGTAGTTGGCGCAGCGAGACAAGTGCCTCGAGGAAGTGGCGGTTTCCACCCAAGACAAGCTGTCTGACTTCAGTGTTGGTTACGTGGTTCAGGCACCACACACGGGCGATGGACCGCAAGTAACGGTTCTCGAAGACAGACAGTCGACGTAGGTCATCGGTACGAGCAGGCGAAGACTCGCAACCGTGCAACAGTGCAGCGCGGACAGCAGCACTGTAAACCCGTCCTTTGATGGAGAGACGGATGTGATGGCTGCGCCATAAATGCCTCAGCCTGGAGAAGACGAGGCGAGCTCTTCAGATACTCATCGAAATCTCGTTACCAACAGCTCCACCAGTGATTATGCAGCTTCCCAGTTGACAAAACTCTACAACTTCCAGCGTCACCATCGGTGGTGTGTGCAGGTAGGAGCGTATGCCAGTCTTGAAAAAGCGCTTTGCACTTGAATGGTGCAAAGTGCATGCCATACTTTGACGCTTCAATCGCCAGGCGGTTAAGTGCAAGTAGGACGGCATGCGGACCGTCACCCAACAAGACGATATCATCAGCGTAATCCAAATAAACAGCCGACCATGTGCAGTTCGGCTTCGTGACTCATGTATAATCAACAAGCGTCGCGAAGAGAGACGCAACTTGTTTGTGATCTCCGCGTACTCTCCGACTGACTGCAGTGGCGACTCGGTCAAAGACGAATTCTACCGAGATCTACATCAGCTCTTGACTACTGCTAAAAAGTCGGATATCGTTATCCTTGCTGGGGGTTTTAATGCACGGGTTGGCCGCCCGTTACCATGCGAACGCCATCTTGCTGGTTACCGCGCACTCGATGAGAACCGCTCTGATAACGGAGAAAGGCTTCTCACATTGTGCGAAGACAATCATCAGTTTCTCCCGAGCACTAAATTCAGGAATACGAAGAAGCGTTCGGCAACGTGAGTCCCCTTCGCCAACACATCCGTGGTTCAGATTGATCACATTGCAATTAGCTTCAGGTGGCGCGGCAGCGTACTGGACTGTAGGTCCTTTTGGTCCGCTTTCGTTGACTCAGATGATGCACTGGTCTGCGCGAAGATCCGTATGTGTTTTGGGAGGTTCCGAAAAACGAAGCACCACAAGATTGATGTGAACAGTTTAACTGATTCCTCTGTCTAGGCGAGCTATCAGTCTTCACTGGCAAACGCACTCAGTTGGAATCCACCGCAAGACATAGAGCAACACTGAACTTGTATACAGAAAACGTTGACCATTTCCAGACAGTCAAGCTGCGACCTTGCTCGACGTCCCTCAAAGGTTCGGATCTCTGCTCGCCTTCTTGAGCTGTTTGACCACCGCAAAGATATCCCCGCGGAATCAGATTGCAATGGGCGGCGCCGTTCTGCCAACCGGCTGCTCAAGCAAAGTCTACTCAAGGATCACTAGACATGTTGGTCTGAGCGTGCTTTAGAGATGGAGACCGCTGTCCTCTCTGGAAACACTTGCAATCTTTTCCAACTCATTCGGTCCATTGGCCTCAGGAAGCCTGGTGTCAGTGAGGTCATTTGTGAGGTGGATGAGTCTCCGATTACCAGCCAACAGAGTCGTATGGACCGCTGGGCCGAGCACTTTCACTCGCACTTCAACTGGCCTCTACCACCCATCAGTACATGCAGTACACCTTGTTGTCCACCCTGGCTTGTCCCACTGAATCCACCCAGCGAAGCGGAAGTCTGCCTCGAGATTCGACGCTTGAAGCGGTTTGAGGCTGCCGGTTCAGACGGACTTCCTCCTTAGCTGTTCAAGTACGGCGGTGTGGCGAGCATTAACCGGCTGACCGCGCTATTCGCAAAATTCTGGCATGAAGAGAAGGTGCCTTTCCCTTGTGGCGAACCAGTTATTGTCACTGTTTTCAAGAAAGGCGCTCGCACTTCATGTGCAAATCATCGTGGGATCAGTCTTATTTCGGTTGCCTCCAAGCTATTGGCATCCATTTTGCTTCGCAGACTATCCCCAGTACGTGAACCATACTACCGTGAAGAACAAGCTGGTTTCCGTCCCGGCCTCGGATGCATGCATCAAATATTCACGCTCCGCCAGTTCCTCGAACATCGCCACATTTATCACAGGCCCACTATCGTTACATTCCTAGACATACGTGCCGCTTTTGACTCCGTTGATCGACCTGCTTTATGGCGTTGCTTGCTAAAGAAGGGGGTGCCAGAGAAATATACCGCCATCTTACGAGCACTTTACCTTCATACATCCGGCAGAATGAGGGTCAATGACAAGCTTTCCTCGCTATTCGCTGTCAACAGCGGTGTGCGACAGGGCTGCCCTATGTCCCCATTCCTCTTCAATTTCGCAATCGAAAACGTTCTGTCGAGTGCTCTAAAAGATTTCCAACATTTTCGCCTAGAGCTTCTACCGGGTGAGCGCGCGACCGATTTAGGGTATGCTAATGATATTGCCTTACTTGGTGACGATCCTCAGGGTATGCAACTCATTCTGGATCGTTTGGTGGTTGAAGCCTCTAAGTATGACATGAGCTTCACCCCATCGAAGTGTAAAGTACTGCTCAAGGATTGACTTTCACCTGCTCCCATGTTCGCTCTCGAAGGTGCACAACTTGAACAGGTAGATAGTTTCGTCTACCTTGGAAGCTGTGTTTCCGCTGACGGCACTATTAACAAAGAACTTTCTCTTCGCATCGCTAAAGCTCGATCGGCATCCATCAATTTGAGGCACTTGTGGCGTCGTCGCGACGTCTCATTCTCACCAAAGGGCCGCGTTGTATGTGAGCGAGTGCTGGCCGATTCGCGTTGAAGACATGCGTCGTCTTTCTGCGTTCGATAGCTTTTACTTAAGGAGGATTGATTGTGTTTGGTGGTAACATCGAGTTAACAGTACTGACCTTCGACATCGCATCTTGTGGAATGCGAGTATTCCCTTGAACAAACTGGTTTTGTTGCACCAATTGAGATGGCTCGGTCACGTCCTACGCATAGCACCTGAGCGTCTACCGCGTCGCGCTTTATTCGCTCGTCAAGGACCTGGCTGGAAGAGACCGCGTAGGGGTCAGCCTTCTACATGGCGTCAGCAGATGAAATCGCTGACATCGTGTCTAGCCGCTGTTGGATCCGTACGTCTTCCAGGATGGGGACCCAAATATGAGGAGCGCCAATAGCTTAACACGCTTAGACATCGCCCGCAACCGGAATCAGTGAAAGAACTGTGTACAGTGTTGTATTGATTCACACGTTTAGTGCTTCAAACATTGAAAGTGACAAAAAAGAGCAAAATCGGCGTGTGAAGAACAAATTACAAATGTTTTATTCTACTTTTAGTCAAAATGTTCCTTTCTTTCTGCGGCGTATTAGCTGAAGCTTGTTGCTCACCTT